ATGTGTAGAGCACTGAGATGCAAACAAAATGAAAAATGTGGATTGAATTTATAACACAATAGTTGGACTTATTCAGATTCCTGACCTTTTAAAGTCTGCATGTTGTTACCTGCTTTGTGTATGTTACGGCTGCCACACGCCCCCTCACTTGTGTGTGTGTGTGTGTGACAAATTAGAGAGCACCTGTTGACCAACACCATAAGATCTTGGCCACCTCTGCATCCATTGCACCACTTTGTTGGACTCACCTCTGTGCTTCTTGTTTTTTTGATTGTGTTCACTCGCTTCTCAGTCAGCTAACTAGGCAAACATTCCTTATCTGGACTGTGCCAAGTAATATTTCACTTTGAGTTTCCAGGTTTACTTGTTCTAGTTTAGGTTGTTTACTGAAGACAGGTTAGTTTTCATTTGGGTGTCACGATAGGAAGGGTAAGTGTTTCAACTCCCGTTAGAGTTCTCTTTGTTATGTTTGGTCATGGATTCAAAAAGAACCCTCAGGGTCATTTCTGTTACATTTGAATTTGTTAAGTTTACACAATTTTCCTTCCTTTTGTAACAATAACTTAAATTTACCAAGAACAGCTGGTTTGTTAATTCCCCTTTCCACATGCACTGGGTCAGTGTATTTCTACTTTAACTTAATTTATTGTAATATATGAATATGTCCTCTACATTACAAAGTCATAGGTTTCAGGTCGAGGACCTTTTTGTAGTTTTTAGGGGATAAGATATCACTTTTTAGATTTGATGTTTCATAAGTGTAATCATCAAATTATCACACAACTTTATCAAATGAAACAGAATAAAACACATTGAACTTTCCCTCTGGCTCTCGTGATGTGTGCGGTGTTGCATCTTCATTAAAACTGTTTTATCACACTTTTTATCATATTGCTTTTGATGTTCAAAATATGGATGACAACTTGTTTTTGTTTTTATTCGAGAACTCTGAAAGGCCCAAAGCAGTTGAGAAAAACATTCATACCCTCAACGGAAAAATAAAAAAATCTTATTATGTAAAAAACTTGCTTGCAGATACATGGCTCCCTCATTGTGGGATGTTAAAGTTTATTTTCATCAGTTTATGAATCTTTGATACGTTATGTTCTTCTTGTTTCTGCAATCTTTGAAATATTTCTAAATGATGTTCTTGTAACCTTAACTTCCACTTGGCTTTCCCAGCTGGACCTCTCTATCACATTGTTCCGTTTCTTCAATAAATCATGAAGTTTAAAAACTGCTGCAGCAAAGCTCTCATCCTGTTTTCCTACAGGTGAAACACAGGACTGAATTCTAAACTCTTCTGTTGAACCTGCAGGGCTTTGATAAGTCAGGTCTCTGGAAATATTCCTCTGGCAGGACTGGAAGGTCATTTGTCCAGAGCTTATGGACTGTTACTTAATCAAAAAGTAAAACCCCAGGGGGACAAAGTTCTGCTGTTGCAGCCAACCTGCAGTTGATTATTCTTCCTAGACACATCAGCGATTTCTCAACGTAGCAGATTCTAAGTGTCATCATTCTCATGGTAGTCAATGATGAACATGACAGACAAAGGTTTACAGAGATTCACTTTTTATATTATTGGAACTTATGTCTGTTTATGAGATCTACTGTTTTTCAAACCATCCCCAGAGCTGGAGAACTGTTTTTCAAAAATGTTCATCAAATGGTCATCAATGACCTGTCGATCGAAACCTGACTATCTGGTTATGAACTCTTACCTCTTTGTTTCTCTCTTGGACTCAACTACTAGTTTTTCCTCTGTATGAAGCAGGGTGGTCGTAGGGCCGCTTAAGTATGACAAAAATCACAATCACGATTATTGTGATTGCTATTGAGATCAGGATTAAAGGCGCACCGATGGATCAGTAGGTGACCGGAAACGGCTGACACAAACACTATCGAACAGCCACACACAGAACAAGCCAACATGTTGGTAGTGTAGATGTGTGGTGTTGCAATGAAGTATGAAACAGTAAACACAGACCGTTTCCCTGCACTCTCCTATTGCCTTAATGTACCTCAAGTCCTATCACACTGTAAAACACTGATGTGTTAAGCGTCTCTGTCCAGTAAAATGCTTTTATTTTTGATCTTTCCTTGAATTATTTTACTCATACTTATCGAACACTGAAGTCTCCTCTCAGCTGAGCCTCAGCACACTGACACACTGAGGGGCGAGGTCGACACACACATCCTTCTGATGTTCTGATTACTGAAGTTGATTTGAAACCGAGGAGCGTGCCTCTAAAGTCAGCCGCAGCTTGTTAATCCAAACTAACTGTAAGTAATTGACTATTCCGCTTAGCCCTGCATTAAATTAAGAGCGTTAACGTAAATACCGGGAAGAGCACTGTTTCAATGAGCAGCACTGTCAGCGTCAAACATGTACCAGTACCAAGAAGTACCAGTTTTCAGTACCCATCCCTAGCACCAAAGCATTGTTTTCCTTCTCACCTTCTCCAAGGCTGTATCGCAGGCGAACGTCCCACGCCTGCAGCGCCTCCCTGTTGTCAAAGCCCAGCAGCGCGGCCTGGTTCAGGCAGAGGATGGCCAGAGTAAAAGTTACGCCCTCATAGCACTGTCCCAATTCCAGACCACAGATCTCCTCCAAGGTGACACTGGCCCTCTCCTTGTTGCCCTGAGCTTTTTCGGACTTGTCTTTAAAAACCAGCAGCACAAGGCAGTCTGGAAACATAAACAGAGAGACAGTTACTCACTTATGAGATGTATTCTGAAACACTCTTGAGGTCTTTTGGCACCGTCAAACAATCGGTGTCAACTGACAAAACAAGTCAGTCGCTGTGTGTGTGTGTGTGTGTGTGTGTGTGTGTTCATGTCTCTGTGTGTGTGTGTGTGCATCCCTCTCCTTCACACACACACCTCTTAACCCAAATAACACGAGGCATGAGCGCAGACAGCTGTGATAACACCGACATCAAAGATCTGAAGATGAGCAGCACTCATCCTCAGTCCAACCTGTGGAGCATTTGTAGCTGGCCACCCGATATGCCACAGAAACATTTCTGAATACAATATAGCTATTTCATCACGGTGAAAACTGGAGATTACTTATGATGCGAAAAAGATCAGAGGTCACTGTTGAATTCAAGGGTTTAGACAAGTCAATGGCAAGAGGACTTGTCTTTCCGTCACATTTACAAAGAGCATATTCAGGGTGCATCTATAAATACTGCAGGGCTTACATTATCCTCTTCGGCACATTCACTGTAAGGTTGGGGATCAGTAAGGGTCAATCATAAGATTTGAAGCATGTGAAATTATGTTTACAAATGGGTCATTCCAAAAACAGTGGTTTTGTATTATAATAAAAAGAAACGCCTACAGAGCTAAATGAATTATGGAAGAAAAAAATACAAATTTCCAAAGTATTTAAAAGATAAAAACAAAAAAAACAACAACTCTGTAAGCAACAACAAGAATGAAGGTAGACATGATAAATACTTAAAATGGGCTGGGCGAAATACACAAACAGGGTATGACACCGTTGCATAACTTATTACAATGTTTGTTTCAAACCTTTTTGGCCCTTTATCGGAGCCCATACTCGAGGCCCAAGTTTCTGAATACACAAAAACAAGCCATGAAGTCATGAATGTCCATGAAACGCGGAAAAAAAACACGGCTGACACCTGATGTGTTCGGCATGCCAGCTTCCTCAACTGTGACGCAGCCAACATGCGCATTTATTTGTTTACACGCATGCAACAAGGCTCCGCGTATCAGGAGTGGAGATAATAACCCCGAAATCAAAACACAGAAAGCCGGCGCTCCTTACCTGCTACAGGCGACGGCTTGCGAAGAACGAGCCACCTAGTTTTCCACTGTGGAAGAAAAAAAACAAAAGCAGAGAGAAACTTTTTAAGCACGGACGAAAGTGCGCTGAAGTATAAGCCACATCTGCTTCATATCCGTCAGCAAATTTAGTGAAGCATAACACCTTTTTTCCATCTCTGAGTCTGGCATATCCCTCCACGACAACAGAATCCGTCATCTTCAGTCATGGTTCCTGACAGCTGCACCGTCGCTGCCTGAATGAGGGGTCACTTTCAAAATAGCTGCTCTCTCTGCTGGTGGGGCGCTAACTCGCCCCCAGCAAGGCACATGGAAAATGGCATGACCACTGTGTGTCTGTCTGTCTGTGTGTGTGTCTGTCTGTCTGTCTGTCTGTGTGCACCAGCCAGCCGACCATGCTGCTGCCACCTGGGCCTGTTTACACCACCTGCTGCGCTGCTGCAGGGAAAACAACGAGGTGACATGATTCTCATACCACAGATACCTCATTTCAACACAATAAATGGTTGTGCTGAACATAATAGAGCACCTGAATAAACACCCGTTCTCGAAATACAGACAAGACACGGATACATGCAATTTAAAAAGTGTGGATTTTGTTGCAAAAAAATAAATAAAACAATATATTATATACCGTGGAAGTGGTCGGATACATAAGTGTCTGAAATACATGCGGGTGTTGTAAAAGTTTAACCATCATTGACAGAATTTATTCCAATGAAATTTACATATAGGCCTGTTTGAATTTAAATAAGAAAAGCAGCAGAAAAGCTTCGAGGTGGAATTTGTTGTTTTAAACACTGAAAAAAGATTTATTAAAAAGATACCTGTTGAAAGAGCTGCATATGGATGTGCAAATGTTTTGTCCTACTGTTTTACCATTAGTATATTCATTGCATGGTTAATATTTTCTTTAACTCTCAGTTATAAAGTGTGGAGCTCCTAAAAAAAAGCTAGTACTGTGAGTAAACCTGAAGATACAACTTTAATAATGCGTTTACTTTGAAAAAGCTAAAAAAATAAATCCTTATTGCTTATATCAACAGTTAAAACTCCTGAAGTTGATGAAGTGATTCATACCAGTGATTTAAAGTTCTCCAAAACAAATGTCTACTTGGGATTGTTTTGGTGTTGAATTAGTCACTCAAAGATCTATCAAGTCAGTGAAGGTTTATTCAGTCAGAACATGTTTCACAGTAGAAAAAGACACAATAAAAACAGAATACAGTACAATAATATACAAAATCTAATATATTAAAGCTAATGTCCAGGTAATGTCTAATCATGAGGCCTTTGGTTTGCGTCTGATCACTGAATTGATCCAGTCGATATAGTTCACTACTTTGGTGTAAACACCAGGTTTTCCAGTGCGGCCGCAGCCCTCCCCCCAGCTGATGATCCCATACAGGAAGCTGACATCATTCCTCGCACAAGCCAGAGGGCCCCCTGAGTCGCCCTGGGGAAACACATACAATCCGCTCATATAAACATACACGCACAGATCAAAGTGGACCAACACAAACAGCTGAGTCACACACTTGAAACCAAATGTAATACTACAAATTGAACTCTAGCCACAGGGGAAATAAATAAAACAGTGACATTTAATTTGAAAAGAAGGAGCGCAAATCATTTTTACACAGCAGGCCGAGGACGTCTCTGCAGCTTTCAGACCACTGCGTTCTTTTAATTGTACTTTCCATTTGGGGATTCCTTGCTACAGTCTTAATTGCCCCTCCATTACACTGATAGCATTGGTCTTGTTTCTGGTATTGACCCTTCCAGATCCGTACTATTATGTAAAATAAAATACTTCTGTTCCTCCAACCTTTAAACATTTATGATTGTCTGACAAACGAAGCTAATTTATTGTTGCTTCGACTTAAGAAGGACCTTCTTCTCTTTTAACAGCCATGGGTTTACAGAAACTTAGTAAAACACAAACCTGAACTCAAATATCTCACACTGCATTAAAAAAGAGCCCCAGCCTGTAGTAGAGCGCTGGTTGAATCTGTCAGATTCTTATATTTAGATGCTTTAATTTTTTCCCTACTTGGACACAAGGCTAGACTTCTAACAATAATGATTGCCTGTCTTAGTAAAATGCTCTCCTACCTGGCATGCGTCTGCACAGTTGTTTAGCCCAGCACATATCATGTCAGCAGTGACGTGGTTGTCGTAAACATCTGGCTTCCTACAAGAGTCATGAGAGATCAGCCTGACTCCCGCCTCCTGCAGACTGGAGTAACCCTCCACCTCTGTCAAACAAAGCACACATAACTCATTTTAATCAAAATAAAGGTAAACCATTACTTGTAGAAATCTACAAGTAATGTTGGCAAATAACATGCAACTACGTGTTTTGGATGTTTCATGTTATTTGCCAACATTACTTGTGGATTTCTAACCTTTTTAAGTTATTCAAACACCCATTGATAAAGTCACAGCTATAAGTCAGATGTTAGCTGAAACGGTTATGTTGCTAACTGAACTAGCTGAAGTGGAAACACTAGCGCTCTGATAATAAACAGAGTTTTCATGATCAGTTAATAAGATAAAGGTAAGATAAGCTCAATAATTTTACAAAATGTTAAACAGAAAAATGTTAACCAAACTTAGCAAATAAAAATAACTTCATTAGCATAATCAGTGATATCACACTCAACAAGATGGCATACCACTAACTCTGAAACACAAGAATCAGTTCATGCACTTACAACACAAACACCATTTGCAAAGGACTGCCACTAAAAGTTACTAAGCTTTACTTAAGCTTGTGTCACTCTTGATGTTTTAGTCATGGCTAGTTGTAATTTCTTAATCAAGTAGCACTACATTTTATTGGCACAGCGCCTAGACTATGACTGAATACAAATGGACAGCATGCCTCAGCATCCCCCTAGAAGAGGACGAAGCCAAAATATCTCTGTGACGGGCGCAGACATATTGTGAATTTAGGGATTGGCTAGAGCTAGGGTATTGACATCATGCAGTTCCATTCAAACTCTCCCAGTTTTATAAAGTGAAATGACTCTTGTGTTAGCGTTCATTATGTTTTCTCTCGCCGTTTCTCCGAGCCAGCTTTTAATAGCATCAAATAACCAATTTAAAAGAAACAACACAGAAAAAGATGACTTGTACACCATTGATCTTGGTAATAACTTACTACCATGACAAAACCAGGTATGAGAAAATTTTATCTGATGTGCATTTAGATTTTATAATTTTACCCATATCCTTTCTGTTAAGACTGAGGCGGCGGGTTTATGACCAATACTGCAGCCAGTCAGCAGGGGGAGCTCTGAATCTTATAGCTTCACAAAAGGTGAGGCGTTCCACTGTTCATTCTTTATTGCCATATTACAATCCATAAACTGTACAAAGAGTGGCCAGCACAAGAGCTTCCGACAATGAGGGCAACAGATTTAGAGCTCCCCCTGGTGACTGGCTGCAGTATAGGTCACAAACCCCGCCTCCTCTGTGTTAACAGATGGAACATGGGGGAAACTTTTAAAATACAGGTCAAAAACATTTTTCTCAAACAAAGTTTTTTAACATGCTAAGTCCTTATTTATGTCTTAAATATTACTTTTTTGAGTTTAATTTTAAGTAGTTATTTCATGTGAAAATTAGTGAATGTAACATCACGATTGACAGCTCTGTTGGCAAATGCGGTTCCTGCGGAGTTGTGATCACAAGATTAGAAAGGTAGAAGAAATTGTGTTAGGAAATGTAACTAACACTACCACAAAAGTTATTGGACAAAAGAACTTGTTCAGTTGTAGACTGCACAGACCTGAGGGGTCTTTGTGCTTTGGTTCACTAGAGGGAGCCAGGCATCAATGCCGCGGCTCCTACAGCCAAATCCCTTCTGTGCTTGTCTTGGCTCGAAATTATGTCAACAGACATTATTTAGCGCCAATTGCACGATCTTTTAGCTTTAATTATGTAAAAAGGAAGGAGATGAATATGTATTGTCCATATTTATATACAGCCTATGGTACAACCGGATTTAGCTAGTAGCCTCTAAAAACAATGGAAGAGCTTGTCAAACTCAAAATGTAAGGTTTTTAACAGCAGGAGCATAAATAAAGATGTTGGACTTTGAAAACCAAATAAGCTGTGTGACCTGTTACAGTCTCTGATTTCAAACAGCTGTTATCATGATACAACACTGCCATGATTTCCTCATCACTCACTCTCATACATGTGTCCCCAGCCGCTTATAGTGCAGCAGTAGTCATCAGGGAACGTCATGCTTTTGTCTGGGAGACAGATGGGCCTGATGAACGGGGTCCTCCTCACACACCGCCCGTCCTGCTTTTTCAGTTTGATCAGAACTGGGGCAACAAAAGCACATAGGGGCAAAGAGGAAGACATAGTTAAAATGATGAAACAAGTGGCAGACTCTGAGGCTCCGTTAGCCAATGAAACTGCCACACCCAACTGTGTGTATGTGTAAGTATATGAGAATGTGTGTGTGTTTGCGTGGGGGAGCGGAGGGACACACAGCTGCTTGGTGACGCACAGCTGTGCACACAGAACGGGGTCTTAAGTGAGTTTCTGATAGGGGGACAGCAGATCTTCTAGTTTATGTGAGTCAGTGGGTTTGTGGGTTTATGTGTTTGTGTGTGTATGTGTGTGTGTGTGTGCTTACCAATGTCATGTAGTGTTGGATTAAACACAGAGAACTGTTTTGGAAAGATGTAATCCTCCACTCCGAACGTCCTGGTGTAGATGCCGGTCCCATTGAAATGCTGCTGGCCGAGAACCACGCGAATCTGCGACTTGAGGGGGCTGAAGGAAGACACACTTTTTATCAGCACACTGCACATTAAGCACACACTCATAAATGTAAAACATTTGAGTATAGAGCCAAGTAACCGTAAAAACTACAAGTTTCATTTCACTGTAGAGGGTCCCTACAGGTTGAATCCTGGGCCATCACGACTTTTAATTGGTCTTAAAAACTCTATGTGTGCACAAAAAAATGATTCAAATCTTCCGTTCATATTTGTGTGATAATCATCTGTACATTTGTGCTTCCCTGAGGACTTAACATTTTTCCATTTTAAACCCAATTTAAAGACGCTAATAAAAGCAAAATCTCCAGTATGTTCTTCATTATGTTCATCACTTCAGTGCTGTGGGCTGTGATGAACATTGTGGACTTTTTAATTAGCTGAATCAAATCCCAGCTGATACTAAAAGCGTCCTGGCTTTACGAGTGTGTTTAGAAGAAAGCCTTGCAGATATGATATAATGAACCCTTTACAAATTGCACTTTTATGAAGACAAAGTGGCTGTTAAACTACAGTGTACGACATCCACTGTGAAGTCATATTATATTTGAACTTGAACAATGACAAGAGGCCTGTTTGTTGACATCAGAAGGGGAAAATGTAAACAGCCCCCTGTGCATGGGACATTTTTAGGTTTTCCTCGAACTGCAACGCTTGTCTAAATTTAGCGTGTTGGTAAAGCTGTGATGCTGAAGGGGTCTTTGAATCACATGCCTTCTGAGGAGTGACCTCTTGTTCAGCAATAACAGTCAGAAAACAATTAAGAGAAAATATGGTGCCTCACTGAACTTTGAATATTTTATGAAGGGCAATGTGTTGACTCAAAGTGAGTGCTTCTATAAAATGGATCTCAAGGACACAAACATAACGATGAATCACCCTTTATTAAAAAAAAAAAAAAAAAGAGTAAAGTTTGTCAACTAAAAGTGCCACAAAAAAAAAAACATCCATGACATACTTGCCGAAGAAGCAGTGAGCCGCAGAGATGACCCAGCAGGAAGACACCAGGGTGCCTCCGCAGAAGTCCAACTGCCCGATGTAAATGGCGGCCATCCAGGGGTGAGTCCCTGGCAGGGCCGAGTTTCCTCCCATTATCCTCCCCCTGGCTATGGATAACCTCTTCTTGTGCTTTTTTCCACACACAGGCTTTTTGTCTGCTTTGGGGGGGTTTAGTTTTCTAACGCCGGGCAGGATTACCCTTCTAGCAGAAGCTGTAAGAGAAAACAGGTTTAAGTGCATCATCATTTCAAACTCAAATTCTGGAACTAGACTACAGCTCAAAACGACTAAATCACTACAACAGCTACAACACAAACCAACACACTTCCTAAATACCTCTTCTAAATATTTTCAATTTTGCAGCTGGATGATCCCACCCTGCAAGAAGCAGAAAAGCGGATCTATAGTTTAATAGTGACACAGTGCAACCTCATGCTAATAATTATGTGGATAAGTGTGCAGCAGATGGGAAAAGCTTGTGGATGTGGTGCATGCCCCTGGCATCATGACAGACACCCAACTGTGCCAAATCCTACTCAGCACATTAACATTTGGCTCCACCTGACATGACATGTTGACTCAGGATGAGTCAGAACCGTATTTCCCCTTATCTCATTGAGCCCACGTTTAGAAGAAGAAGAAAAAAAAAATCTCTGCCACAGAAACATTTGACTTGGCTGACTTCAGCTCTCCGGTGCAGCGTGACTCAGCTGAGATTAGCCGCTTTCTCCGCGCTCTCAGTTTCCCTCACGAACACTGGATTTTCTAATTTAAAGCGTTTTAATGAGGTGTTTGGATGTTTTTGAATGCTCCTCGGACGACAAGTGTCGCAGACTGAGATATATAATCAAGGCTGGGAGGCTGGAGATATTGAGTGATGCAGAGAGTGGCCTCGAGAAAGAGATGCAACATTTCACACGTTATTGTGATGAGCTCAATGGCACCCTTGAAAAAAGCCAATTATAGGAGAAAGGCTCAATGAAAATGAAAACCAATAATAACCAAGGGCAATTATTAATGGAAAAAATTACGTTAATAAAAGACGGGTGGCAACAATTTATAAACAGGAGCAAATAAAAAAAGCAAGTTCAAGCAAAACTCCTCTGTGCCTTTTCTACTCACACACAGACATGACACAGGAGGGGACGTCACAGTACTCCCAGGAGATGGCGCCGTCATTTAGGGTGTAGCACCACGGCTTCTTGTCCCCATCTGGGTTTCTGCACGCAGAACAACACAGAGGACAGAGTGTGTGTGTGTCGGTGGGCCACCACTTTTATAAACACAGCATATAGCTCGGCACACTCCATTATTTGTGAAAATTGTCTATTTTTTTAATACTTAGTAATAAAGCTGCAATATGCTACTTTTTACTTTTAAGTTAAGTCCCCAATTCCAAATGTTTCTGAACTGTTAAGACAGTCCGAGCGTGTGTTTGTGCTCTTGGGCTTTTTTTCTTTGATCTTTTGGTCATTTTGCAGCACATACCATTTGCTCTGGGTGTGCCATATGTCTACAGGGTAGTCATAGCAACAACAAAAAAAAAAAAAAAAAAAAAAGACTGAGGAAAGCAGTGTGAAGGAGATGAGAGATTGTAGAGGAGATGAGACCTGGTTTTTAGTCAAACACTGACTGGACTCTCCATGTGTGTTTTTAATGCATAATGCTGGTTTTAAGGCGACCTGACAGCTTTGCTAGTCCAGGGTAAGAAATGAATGTTGCAGCTTCAAAGTAGAAACAAATGAAATGTGTAATAGAAGGTAGCCTTGCTATTTAACTCCTTGATAAAAAATGTTTTAATGCAATAATTGAACTGAAAGCTTGGTCATGATGCTACAAGACATCTAGCACGCTAACGGCTAATGAACGATGTCTTAACACACACACACACACACACACACACACACACACACACCTGCAGAAGGCATGTTCCCCGAGGCCCTTTAGGGGTGACGAGCTCATGGTGCCAACATGGAGCTCGTCATACAGCAGGTCTGAGTTCCAGGGCAGACAGTGGGCGCCGGACTCTGTGGTACCCACCACCCCTCGGTAATCTCTCCCCCTGCTGTTATAGCATTCTGTCTCCGGCTCTGCACACACACACACACACACACACACACAAATGCACGTGGCGAGACACACACAAAAAAACACACCGACGTCTTAATCATGTCTGGATTCTGCAGGGATGTAAACGATACAAATGAAGTCTGACAAACATTTAGACGAGCAGATTTTCTTTCCCCTCACACTGGAATCAGTCAGAACAAGTCTTGGGGAAAAAACTCTTTGTGCTCTTTTACAACAACAGGAGCATGACTTAGTACAAGTTTAGCAGCGTGTCTTCACCTGCCGCCACTAATTCAACTATTCTTACACTCACACGTGTGTGAACATGCATGCACTGTGTGAACATGTATGTGTACACGAGGCTGCAACATAAAAACTACCACCAGCTCTGTTCCCGTCCTGCTCTCACTCACCAAAGCTGCAGTACGGCCCGCTGTACGCACGTCTGCAGTTACACACTTCTTTGCCCGTGGATGTGATCATCCGGCATGTTCCGTCATTCTGACAAGGGTTGGAACGACACGCTGGACACACACACAGAGAAAGCACGTCACATATTTCGACCGAACATACAATACAACCCGTAATTCACTTAAGTCCCATTTACTTTCTTTCGGTCTCTAAAAGCTGAAAATGGAAAGTTTCGCTTTGATCACCAGCTGGTTGCTCATTGTGTTCCGTCTGATGTTAAGTGATGAAAAGATGTTTACGCGTGGTTTTTATATATTTGAGCTGAAAACAGCTGCCTGCCGCAGCCAAAAATCCACCCATACAAAGCTATGAGAGTGAAGAAAATATTAAAGTAGCCGCCAAACAACAAGCACAAAACTGTGAAAAGCTGAGGAGAAAATGTAACTTTGTAAAGATCTTCAATGTGAACAACCCTCACATGTTGTCTTCTGATACATCGTTATTATTATTATTATTATTTAGAACATTTCTTCTTCAGCATCATCTTTTTTCTTGCTGGTTTAAGTATAATCACAGTTTTATAGCTGGCACTGATGAACCTACACACAATGCTTTCCCAGCTTTGACAGCGCTCGCAAAGTGTTTCAGCATCTTTCAGTTTTGGTTTGTTTGGGCCCAAAGCTTTATTGTTACACTTTACCGCTCATTTGAAACAATCTGACTGTACACAACCTGCCCAGCAGCAAAACAACAGACAGGCCAAGTGAGCAGCTGACTAATGGGACAGCTGAAGTGCCCAAAACTTCCTTCAGGAGTTTGTCTGCTGGTTGTGTACATAAGAAACGTGTAGCCATTTCAACATCTATTTTTTTTGTTGTTGTTGCTGTTTTTGTCTATTGCGTCTGTTCTGTATGGTATTCTGTTCTTCTGTTACTCTTTAACAGAACCTCTGCAGAATGGTGCAGAGGTCAGCGAGGAGGTTCCTGGTTTAAATCCCCGTTGGACAGGAGCCTCTCTGTGTGGAGTTTGCGCGATTGGTGAATCTAAAATAGGTGTGAATGTGAGTGTGGCTGGTTGTCTGTCTCTTTATGTCAGCCCTGTGATTGACTGGCAAACAGTCCAGGATGTAACCCCGCCTCTCGACCAATGACAGCTGGGATTGGCTCTAGCACCCCATGACCCCGAATGGGAAAACGGGTACAAATAATGCATGGATTGTGTTTGTTACTCTGAGGTCAGAAAACAACATTCGATCCCTTGTATGTCATGTACATAAGTCAGAATTGATCAAGTTACTTTTCTAATATGGTGATGATGCAGTACGTCGAGGTAATATCTCCAGCATGTAGTGGGCCTTTTATTTCTTTACCAGTTAAAATGTGTAGTTCAAACTGGTCCTGTGCTAGGATGTACTTATTGTGTATCTGCCTCTTTGTATATTCCCTGTCAGATAACACAGATGCAGAGGATTTTCTGGCACAACTTCACCAACTACCAAGGTGCATGAAGAGTGAAAGGCTTAGAAGAGGTCAAAAAAGCGCCAGCAACACAAATTAGACCGACGCGTTAGGGTCAGATAATAATGATGCCACATCTGCGCTGAGGTCATCTTAAGAATATTTCTTTTGGAATGAGCCAAAAGATAAAAAAAAATGATCTCAGCGCAAAACGGGGGAAAAAAACGAGAGTAGAATTTCAAAAGATATTTAGGCGGGTTTCGCTGAAGGGGAGGATGTTTCTCCCATGGCTACTGTAAGATAAGCCGCTACCATCATGACAAAACAAAACAAAAAACACAGTTTCGGGATCAAGGAGCACGAAACCAGCCCACTGCCATTCTCTCCTTTATGCCGGGGAATCTGTTGAATGCATTCGAACAGCCCCCCACTGAGATAAAAGCACCTTACGGACCCATGGGGTGTGTTCCTGAGTCACACTGAGTCATATAATCTGCCTTCACTTCCATGGAGAGCTTCCTCCTGTAACTCTGGAGCTGGGATCAAAGAATAAAAAGTGTTTCTCCGGGCTGGGAGGGGAGTCCCTGGTCATTTGAGGACTGATATGAAAGAGAAAGTTTGAGGATTCAAAAACTCCTGAAGAAGTTTTTTTCTTCTCTTCAAGGCCACTCTTTCTAAGTGCATATTAAACTGAAGAGAAGACACAGTTTCAGCAGAAGAACAAAGCACATCTTACGTGTGTAGCGCACTCTTTCACACTCCATTTCCCCTGCCACACATGTGCACTGTTCCACATTACGGAGGTGAATCCTTCCCCAAGACTCTCCGGTGTCATAATAGCGCAGGTGTAGTGTTTCAAAGCACTTCTCTGGAAAAAGAGAGAAAAAAAAAAAAAAAAAAAAGACGTGAGAAGACAAAAAAAAAAAGTGATATGTTGAAACGTGAGAGGAGACTGAAGTGCTCGTCGGAGCGTGAAGAGCTGGGTTCGGTGTGCTGAGCCGTGTGAAGGCTGCATCCAGAGTGGATACCTGTGTGTGTTTCCGTGTGTGTGTTTCGATTGGACTGTGTTGGAGGTGATTAACGGAGATGAGTTTGAATGTGGAGTTGGAAATGACTCACAGCACCTGCACATGAGGAACATTCTGCAGTCTGTTTAATCTTGTTTGAAATGTCTACAGGGAATCATTTCCTGGCTCCTGTGTCCCTCTGAGGATGTCAGGAGATTGACACAGTGTTATGAAATAAATCAGAGGCTTGGATTCTTGATTCTTGGTTGACCCAGTAAATGTGATTATCCACAGTTTGAAACATATTTCAACACTGGTCAAAGGTCGAATGAACCAAATAAATGTGGTATTATACAGTATGTGTTATTCATACATTCATATTAATGATAATAATTCATCGACTTACTCTGCTCACAGAGTCTCCCGCTGAAGCGCTCAGGACAGGCGCACTCAAACGAGTGTCCGGGAGGGATCAACGTGCAGACGCCCCGTTCTGACACGGACTCATCTGACACGGGTCTGTGACTCTGCGTGATGTGTGGACAATAACTGAAACACAAATCGACAGCCGACTCAGCGAGTGGATCATTTCAATTCAAATAGAGACGAGTCAGATGATAGAAAGCTGTTCAGTCCGATTGAATGTACTCGTGTGTTTACTCCACTCACCGTCTGGCCGAGTTATCTGCGGCGCACAGAAGCCAAACTGCCGGTCACGATCAAAATTATGCGTGAGGGAGCACCTAGGGACGGAGATACAGGCATGTTACACAGAAACCAGGAAGTCACTTGGACTCACATATTTCATCATATTATGTTAGACCTATATGACAATAATCAGTGCTGGTCATTTTTTTACATTTGTATTTCTTCTTTTAGCCATGGAGGACGATGCATTCACTGAGAAGGTCTTCTAAATGGCAATAAAGGATTTCTGCTGATGGATTATTTGACTCTGTAGTCCAGACTAATGTCAGCAGGGATTGATCTGATTGACCTGTTTTTAAGGTGTATCATTGACGCTTTAGAAACTGAGCACTTATAACAAGCTGGATGGTTCCTTTCCTCTTTAGCCTGGAGGATGTGGTGTCCATTATTTCCAAAAAAGAAATTTCACATTTAGACTCTTCAGAGTGCTTCTGAAGTGTTCCTGAGTCCAGGCAGTGAAGATCCATAATTCTCTTTGACTCTTTTAATGATTATACTGTCATGTACTTAAGAAAATGAAATACCCAGATTCTAGAACATGGTTCCTACAGTGTTGTTCTTTTTGTCCGCACGGTATTTCAGAGTGTTGAACCCCTCCCCGTCCTTACCTCAGACAAACTCAGTCTCTATGGGACGCTCCGTCCTTACCTCAGACAAACTCAGTCTCTATGGGACGCTCCTTTTTATGAGACCCACAAAGACTCGCACCACTATGTCCCCAGCACCTGAAGATGAAGAGCCCGGTCGTGCTGGAAACGCTGTGTTCTTTAATGCATATGGCAAATCAAAAAGAATATCTTTGGGAACCATGGTGTTGCGAGTCTTTGTGCATCATATCCAGTGTTTTTTTATGACTCAGTGCCTGAATGAGTGACGTACTTGTGTATGCACTGGCTTTTTCCACCCAATCATGTTACGAACATGTTGATGTTGTTAACAGAGAGACGTTCCACCAGGTGTGTTTCATTTATAAATCATCGCAGTCTATTTTTATTTCAATTTTACACAGCCTCCTAACTTTTTTTAAAAATATGTTCCCAAGCTGCTCTGAACCTTGCGCCGTCTTTGAAATGCTGCACACTCTGACTCCAGTTTGATCATGAGAAGAAAAAAAAAAAATGGAAACAATAACCCACCGACGCTCTCTTCCTCTGTCAATCATCCGCTAAGTGAATCAAAGTAAAAACCATCATGCCTCTGGATCTCGGAATCTCTACTAGATGAAGCCATCCCGGTCTTGACACTGAATATGAAAACGCAGATCGCAGGAACATGCTGGCTCACATTGCAAAGAAACGTTATGTGTAGGTGGACCACAGACATTGGGCCATATGTAATAGCGTTGATGTTGCTCCAACTTGCTGGCATCCACCCCTTTTTTTGTCTTCATTCCCAGGGTTGAGCAGTCAAAGCCCTTCAGCAATGCAGGTTTTTTTTTTTTCTTCTAATAAAAATAAGATGTAGCTGCTGTGTCACAATCTGAAGCAATAAAAAGTGCGGCATGATGGTTTTGAACCGAGGCAGCTGTTCACTTAGCCTGAATATAAATCGTATGAAGAAATAAGGTGTTAAAAATCTGGGATATATTGAGAGGTTTTTATTTCATAACTTTTGTTTTTTTGCACTTTTTTTATGAAAGTCTTATCAAGGACACACAAGTCCTGACAAAGCCCACCACCAGTTGTACAATAACCAGCTCTTTTCAAGCCAATTAGCTCATTACCTCATTAAAGATGTCATTATGTTTCACCGTTGCGAAAGAATCCCTCATCAAAGCGGGCTGTAATTATATGCAGCTACAATTAAACACTGCATTAATGCCCCTCGAGCTTAATCACAGCTATTACGACTGCATTGTATGACGGAAAAATACCAGTGTGTCTGTTCCTGACGTAACATCTGCAGTCTGTATAGGTGTGTAAACCTGTGGTGTGTGAGTTATAGTCGGAACAAATCCAAAAAATGACGAGGCCAACACCTTCAACTCATCTCTGCTTGATTACACACACACACACACTCTTTTGAGTCTGTTTGTGTAACCACAACAGTCAATCGAGACAGGGTTTGGCTAATGAGGACTCACCATGGTCTTGAGGATAGGACGGTGATGCAGTGATGATGAATCCTTCCTCCCTGGCGAAATGGGAATTTACATTCTTTGCCCATTGTAGTAAGAACTGCAAAAAATAGCAATAATAAACATCTGTTAATGATTATCAGAATGTGTTAAAACATCTTTTTTTGTTTTGTTTGCAGTTTCACCCTTGTACCTCACAGACAAAGACTCCTTTGACTTTGTCCAAGGCTCTGGTCAGAGGACAGTAAATCCACAATCCTCTCATCAGAAAAGCTAAATCATGCTGTTATTATAGGCTACATCAAGCAGGCGTAGCACACCTTCACAAGCACACATGCTGAAGATTTACTGCATGTTGCACCAGCAACTTTCTGCAGCTGAAAATATATCACATTCAGTGCCAGTATACAATGTGCACCACCCCTCTCCCTCTCCCTCTCTCTCTCTCATGTTTTCCTCAACACTAAACACAGGTTAGAGGTAAAACTTACCTTTCTGGATTTCTCCCTGTGGCTCTGTGGAGGTGACAGTTTTATACCCAGGGACAAACATGCGCTGAAATCGAGAAAGAGACGTTTTTTTTTTTTTTTTTTTTTTACGCACGCAAAAAATAGTGAAAGATAACAAGCAGAGGGGAGAAGGACAGTTCAAACTTACCGTCCGTGCAGTGAAAACACAAGGCAGAAGAACAAGTAAAATGTATGCCATCATGAAAGTTTGTTGGTCCTTGGCTTCCGGAGGAGCTTAAACCCTCAACTCGGAATGAAAGTCTGTGCGCCTGTCACGTTATATCTGTCAGTTTCCGAGTCCTCAGCCTGCTTTTGGTCATAGGAAACGTGGGAAACCCTGCAAGTATTATCCTGTTCCTCACTATTTCAAGCTGTGTTGAGTAAACCCGTTGCGTCATTAGGCTTGTCTATCTCTGAGGCATCCCATGCCCCGGCTGGTGTTTCCCCTCTCATCGTCAGGGTGAGGAGATGGGACAGTTTCAAACTTTCCAGAGGCTGGAGCAGGAGCGGGGGCGGCTCAGGCCGGAGCGGGATATCCCTCCTTGTCCTGCCGCGGGGATCCATGACGTGAACACTCCTGTTGGATGTTTGGCGACTTGGTCGAGTAAAACATTTTGAAGTCCTCTCTTTCGAACATTTGATTTATTTTGACAAATGTAAATGTGTAAATTAAGTTTATGTAGCTCCACAAACAAATGTATGAGAAATATATCAAAAGCTTAAAGTTTCGGTCTCCTAAAAAAAACTAAATATTGCTCTTAGCACTTTAACGGCTAATAATAAATTATAAGATAATTTGACAAATATATGGCCTAACATTTGGACAAGCATGGCATCGTGCAAGTAGGCTAAAGTTAGCTGCGGTGGGTGGGCAACTGGCGGTCCCCAATCAACCCTCAGCGTGGCCCTCAGGTCAATTTTTACACATCAATTAATTGGAAACATTTAGAAAACATGACAAAATCTGCCATGAAATCATGAAAACCAGAAGTATGTCCATAATAATATTTCATCACTGGTATATGTTGAGTTAAATTTGAGACATAATTGATTGTAATCATTTTTGTGTACTACAATTTGGCCCTCTGGCAGTGAGAATTAAATGAATGTGGCCCTTGCTGTGACCAAAGTTGCCCATCCCCAGAGATAAAAAGTAACATTTAGCATGGCTGACAACAAAGGCCATATAAATTATTATGATATTAATAATGAAATTGGTCTCATTTTTTTTTAAATCTAAAGTTGACAAACTTTCTATAGTTCCAGCTTGTTAGGTATATATTTGAAAACTTGAATTAAAAAAAAAAGTCAATTCAATGTTGCTGCCTAATCTATGCTAATAAAGGCTATTCTAGTTATGTTAAAAAAATCCTACAAGCAAAGTTTTAAGAAAAATATAGTCCTATCTGTGTTTTAGAAATTAGGCTAGCGCAACAGTTAGTTTTTTTTTTCACTTGGTAATTAGGCTAGTAGTTGCAAACTCTCAGCAATTTACTGGTGGTAACAGGTATACCTGGCCATGACACAAGCATGAGGTAACATGTGGGTGTCACTTCACTACTAAGCCCTGGAACAGTCATGCTCTATTGCAAAATCAGGTCCCAGATCATTTTGATCCAAACACAGACAATAGCTAAGGTGACATATAGGCAACTAAGGCCTACTTTCTCAAAACCATAAACCACTAAATAGAAAATCTCTGCTTTATTTCTACGCTCAGTGGCCGATTACTCTAGTAACAATTTACCACAAAACGTTTATGACATCAAGCTCTGTGTTTTGTGTTGCATTGCTGTAAAATGCAGATGAAGCTGGAGTATTTTTTCTTAATAAAAGACTTATTATGTACTGTGCCATAGTTGCTGCCATGGGAACTGCCAGAGAAGCAGTGGATAGAAGCAGTCTAGACGCCAAAACATTCACAGGTGGAGTCTCACATTTTTAAAGTTTTTAAGATAAGAGAATGTCAAATGTGTAGGTGTATCAAGGATCTGAAAGAAATCACTGTTGTAATGAAGAATTCAGTAATGGCAGGACCTTTGAGATAAAGAAGGCATGAAAGTGAAGAGGCCTACTAACCATTTATAGGCCTTATGCGTTGTCAACATTCCAGCAGCGACAAGCTCTGTCATGACAAAGTCCCATAATCTAACCTCTAATTTTCACCAGCTGTAATAATCTCTCTCCAGATGCTGACCTAAAAATACAAAGAAGAGGTAGGACGACTAAACAGCACGTTCACATTATGGTCAAATCCCAGAGTGAAGAGAAGGTGACTCCAAACAAGAAACTGTTCAACTGTTCAATCTATTCCGTTTAATTATTGACTCAAGTTAGCAAACACAGGTAGCTATAGCCAAATATGACAAGGAGATCTCAGTGTTGTGAATGCCTGATGGAAGACTGGGTTATAAACCAAAACAAAGGAGTATTTCAGATATTTTTACAGCCAGGATTAGAGGTTAAGATTGCTTAGGGATCGCCCTGCTGTTAGGAATACCTCCATTAATCACATATGGACAAAAGAAACAGCATCCTTTTTGTTGGAAGCAGCCATCAAAGCTTTTTTTAATCATTCGACATGTTGACAACCTCAAAACCACAGAAGCAAGAAGTACAGGCAACAGAGGTACCAATTATGCATGATCTGAAAAACACAGGAAAGAGATGTAAACCAGAAATAGGTAAATATCCAAGGAAAAATAAAATTGACTCCCTTTTGATCCTAAAAAAATAGTCCTGCTGAGCATTTAGTTCAACAAAAGCAGGTACCACTTTCTAATGGGGCAAGTAGTTTTGTAAAATGTTAAAATTTCAGGTATACATGACAGGTTTTCTGTAGGTTTGAACTACATGTCACAGCCTTCATTTCCAGCAGGGAAAGAAGCTAGCAACATGATTAAATTAAACTTCACAAAGTCTTTACATTTAAAGTTGTTATTAACAGCTCTTGTAACAAAATCAACCAATTTATCGTCCATTGATTTTCAACAGCTTTCAGCTGCATCTTCCTCAGTGGAAAACAAGCACTCATTAAGTTGAGTAATTACTGGAGTGAAGAACATTCTGTCAAACTCGTGTCTTTAATTAGAGTTGTTATTTTTAAAATTACTGTGTTCTCTTTAATTGTAATTCAAAGGATAATGAATTGTCAATTCCCTTTGCTAATGCAGCTGACCTTTTAGTTAGCTTTTTAAAAAAAATCATATTTCATCAAGCTAAATTAAAAACATAATTAAAACCTGCTTATGAACCTTATACAATCTTTGCCTTACTAGAACATGGTACAAAAAAAATCCCATTACAGTCTTCTTCCATGGTTGTCCTCGGTCTAACATGGCTTTTAATAGAATTGTTTTGTACCTCTTAATTAAACTATACAATAACAAAAAACATCACTGTCCCAAAATGACAACCAGTACTAGAAATCAACAACAAGACGCCATAATTCATAACAAATATACAATATCTATCACCATGATATCGATCTTTTTTGGAGTGTAAATAGACTGCTTTGTACATGCAGCCCATCGTTTGACTCGTTCCCTCTCTAAAGTCAGTGCCTCAGGCTTTAAAAGTGCAGCAGTGGGGGGGGGGGGGTTCCCTTTAGACAACAGTGGCCTTGAAAAGGTCTGTCTGACAGTCCGTGCCCTCCGGTGGGTTACGGCCGTTTTGTGGCATCTGAGCGCTCCTCATCTTGCTCTGGCACTGCCGCAGCTCAGCTACGTAGCCGTGGAAGCTCAGACTGAGCTCAGAGTCCTCTTCCTGGGACCTCGCCTGTGTTCCCTCCTCCAGATGTACCCCGTCCACGTCCTGAACCGTCAGTGCAGCGTCGGTTCTTTCGCTGGGGGATTTGTTGTTGGAGCTGGGGTCCGTTTTTCCCTCTGTGTCAGAATAAAAGAGACATGAGAGATTAAGAATGGGTATGTCTAGTTATGAGGTTAACGCACAACCACTTATATTTGCATTTTTTATTATATTTTTTGTGCCAGTAGGGGGCACCAGAAAAAGCTAACAGCCAACACTGACATATTACTCCTTATAAAGTAACATAATAAAAGCCTCCTGTTTGGCATAATGTTAAATCCTAATATGCACTTAGCTGTAAGTGCGGTTTTGCTTCATCATCTTGACTAGCTAGTTTTTCTAATGCTGTGCAAGTAGCTCAAGGAACACTTCCTTTCTGCCTGAGGCCTTAATTATGATTAACAAGGAGCACCAAATGGCTCAAACTGGACACCGTGAAGTACTCAAGCTGTGGTGCCAGTTTAATTTTCTAGTGGTTTGTCGCCTCATGTTACCTTTTTAAAATGTCAAGTACTTTCATTGTAATTCAACCTATTGTTTGTGCAAGGGAATATGCCTGATTAAGTAGCCATTATAATCATTATATAGACAGCATGAAATCACAGAGGACGGCTGCCTTACAAAAATCCATTCACTCTTTATAAATCGGCACTTGAAGGCGTCTGTAATGATAAATGTGTTACTAATATCTTAAGTCATTTTACACAACAGTTAAGATCCGACTGAGCAATCTGATTGGACAAGAGGCACATCACTGGGACTTTACCAGTCCTCCTAAACCAGGAGTTCTGAATACTTTTAATTAACATCTCATCCCTGAGAATCACACAACAGACTCTAATTTCACTGATTTTATGATAAAAATTAATTTCACAAGTGAAGGTTCAAACTACAAAGAGCTGCTATGTGGTAACCATGGACACCCAGAGAGTAGCGAGAGTGCAGTAGAATAGAATGTTTGGGTTGCTTGGCGACAGTCTAGCTTCAGTGAAATTGTGGCGCTAGCCGAGTTGGTGGAGTTAAAAAAATATCTGTTGTTTATTTTGTAGTTTTTAACACTATTTTCTGCTTGTATAACTGTTGCATGAGAGTAATATCACACTCGAGGTCGAGATGTTGTTCTGACTATCGCTGCCTCGTACCTACGACTAAATCACAGCAGTCCTGATATTCCGTACATCACTCCCTCTCCTGTGATATTACTCTAAAGAAATACACATAATCCCCAAGTTGCATCTTCAAAAAGGCAAATCACAAGAGGCAATCAATCCTCCCTTCCTACATATGATTTTAATAATGTATTTTTTTTTTTTTTACATTAGCGACCAAATAAAGATGCAAATAATAACTATATTTGGCATTTCTTCCCCCTCTTTGACTCATGTGCACCTGCAGGTGATGTTATTACCTGAGAGCCAAATGCTCAGCATGAGACTTCAGATAATCTTTCTAAGCGGAACATTTGTCACCCGCTGTGTGGGAGAGATTGTGCATTTAAGAAACCCACATCAGCTTCGTTTGTTTGCATAATCAAGAGAGTTGTATAGTTGTGTAATGTGCACAGCTGTTGTCAACATGTATTTGATGATGTCAGGCAGATCAAGGGAAAGAAAGAAAAAGAGGAGAAGTTTATCAATTGGATTTTAAACACTTAAAGCTGCAGTACATCATCCTGTGAAAAATCAGTAATATCACATTGTTAAGAGTGTGCCAGTCAAAGCCCCCCCCCCTCCAGTTTGTTGGGGGGGGGGGGGGCTAAAAGCTGAGTTTCTGGGTTGCTGTCGTTACACTTCTGATGACCGATGCTTTTAATGTGAACCCTGCGGCCCCATGGACTCTAAACACAGAGGCCCGAATGACTCAAACACAGCTCTTCAACACACACACTTCTCCTAACTCTGCTGACTGTGATTCACTGCTGCACAGCTCAGATGTAAACACAAGCCTGTGAGCTCCCACAGCTGACCTTTCACAGACACTCACACTATCCACTACAGGACAACTTGAAGCGCACAGGTGAACGCCGAGCGAATTCAAGGACTTTTCAACAACTCTCAAGCTCACGTCTGTAGTTCAAGGATGTGTCACTGACTGTGTTCAGCAAGGAAGGCGTGTTTTGAATTATACATAGATGGAATTGATGCTTTAACAACAGATATCTTGATCACAGGGATTTTCCCAGGAGGTGATGTATTGATGCCGACATGCGAGGCGTATTCATGAGCTGTGGTTTGTTAAGAGCTTTGATTTATTCATTCCTCCTCTATCTTATAAATGCTTCCCAACCTGGGGATCAAGACCCCATCCAGGGTCCAGAGTAGCTCCTTAGGGTCAAGCATAGACTGTTAATATTAATGGACGAAGCCTGAGTGTTATCTGCATCTGTTACGGCAGGGGGCTCAGGAGGCTCATCAGCAGCCGCCACCATGTTGGAATTACTCTCAGACTAACTTTCAAACTGTCAAAACTTGAGGCGGGTTTTGAGCCTCTTGACCAACCGTTACAACGCCCCACCTGGCAATCATGCCAGCTACGCGCCTAACTATGGATAACACTTATTGCTTCCAAAATCAAAACAGAGCTGTTTTTTAAAATTCTACCCCCGTACAGTGTGCCAGTGAGGACAATAACTAATCAGAGCTATTTGTGTTTTTTTTTGTACCAGGCTGTAAACATGTTTATTTATGCATTAAGGGCTTTTTGCCAGTCACGTGTATGTGACTTCCAGTGTTCCTGGAGCCAGCCTCAAGTGGACACTCAAGGAACAGCAGGATTTTGCACTTCCGCAATTGCTTCGTTTTTCAAGACCAGAGGTTGCCGCGTGGGGTCAAGGCACAAGTTTCTAACTGTTGAGGAAAACGCTGCAGCTTTAACTCTTCATGGTTCAAAAAATACATTGAAAAAATATATAATTAAATGTATGAATAACCCCTCACCTTTGATATTTGGAAAAAAGAAAAGTTAACCTAGATGTTTATGTAGGGGTTAAAACAGTCCTTGAAAATGTTTTTTAAGGAAAAAAGATCTACATTTTTACAAGTGAAGTAGGGAATCTGTTTTGGATCCATAATTTGTTATACTCGTTGAAATTCTCTTCACATCCTGACCATAGACTACGTACATACCAATTATTGTGCATGAGCAGAGAAGCTAAGCTAGTGAGCTACGGGCACAGGACTGGCAGAGACAGGTAGTTTGATACTATTACCAGTGATGATGATGATGATACACTGCACTCCTTACATGAGCTCCTCCTGCACTGTAAATGAGGCAAAGCAAGTTCATGACTACCTTTTTAGTCTAGCTTTTAACATAATCTCCTTTTATCTAGTTTAATTACATTTTAACCTCCTGTGTTTCCTCATCAAGAATTCATGATAGCGTCTCCTCTGTCCTTCAGTACCTGTTTTTATCTAGTTATTTTACCTTAGTTTTTGGATTACATACAATTTATATGACATACATCATATTTGACTGATTTTGCAAACTCTTATTTTGAAGGACAGAAAGAGAGATTTTTTTTTTTAACTTCAAAACATTTAAAATGATATGAAAATAACTCCTGTGTTTTCCTTAAGGCTATCCTAATTGAGGTTTTAAATGTTAAAGCTGCTGATTCCTTTGAGACGTGTGAAGAGATGTCTTGTTGATACAGACGTTTAACAAGACCATGCCTCCTGCAGCTACTCCTGCCACTCAGCATGGCAGCAGCCGGGAGCTGACACCGATCAGCCAGCGTGGAAAAGACCCAGCTTCAGTCCTCGCTGAGGCTGACTGCCAAAGATCTGTGTCTCTGACGGCCACATGGATGATAAGGCTGGCCCAGGGTCAGCGGCTGCCAGCTTGGAGAGCTGACACACGGGACATGAGGAGGAGGAAGAGAGGGAAAATGAGCCTGAAGGCAAGCAGAGCCATATGTCCCCTCTGGTGTTCTGCTGAAAGGGAGTCATTACAGAGCACTTTTGAGAGATAACCTCGCCATCGGGTAGATGTCCAATTTACTCAGAAGAATCCTTTGATCTCAGTTTGGGCCCAAATTTGTCCCTGAATTAAAACCTGAGAAGCTGACTTATGAACCTGACTGCAGAGGAAAAAGGAAAACTTTAGCAAAAATACTTAACTTTCTATATTTCTAAAATGTATTTCACCAAATGGCATGTTTTTCCTGAGATATAAAGTTCAACACAAATCAGTCATGTGAATGGAGTTACACTGTGTAATGTCGCCCCCTAGTGGATGTCCTAATCCCTATTGACTCAGCCCACAAACCCCAGTTTATGAAGTGATTACAGCCATGATTAAGAAGTGGCTGTGGCAACAAATGAAGCTGTTTCTGCTTTTTTTCAGTAGAAGAGGTTGGATTAAAAAAAACAAAAAAAAAACGTATTTAACCCTGATGCATGACAACAACCACCAGGTCACTGCAGAATACGGATTTACTGTCAGTATTGATGCCTTGCTCTAGAGCTGCCGTTTAAAATGATGAGGTTCAGGTGTATTTGTTTGCAGTGCAAGATATTTTAAACTATCAATAAAATCATTAATTCTGGTACAAGCAGATATCAATGTTACCCCTGAATCCATGAATTAACTTAAGTAGCTTGTCAAAATTTGCTGGTGAGATTAAATATTTGATCCTTGTGTGAGTGAGCACGAGCAGGTTGACTTTATTCTCCTTCTTTTTCAACACCGTATGATTTAAGGCTCTGAGTGAGTGATGAATCCTGCAGTGATATCTATTCCCCTGAAACAGCAGAGGGCGTCAGTTTATCAGTGATACAGAGCGCAGAGAGGGACGTCTGCAGCCACGGTGATTGACAGTAAAAGAGGATAATTGCTGCAGAACTGTTGCTCACTTGTTTGGACTGATGGGCTCTGACTTGTTCACTGGCTGCCTTTGAAACATATGATTACGTTTTTGAGCGAGACTTTCCAAACAAAATATAAAAACCTCATCGCGTCTCTAAAAAGTGGAACAGCGGAGAGTAGTGGCTGCATTTTTACGTTTGCATTTGAGTCAGCCAGTGTTTCTAAATACGTCTCTCCTAGCTTTGTTTCTATTTCAGGGATGGGGAGAAAAAGAGTGAAAGAGGATGGAAGATGGATGAAAACCTATAGTGACAGTTTCTATCTGTAGCTCAGTCAACTCGTGGATAAGGTTACCATGGTGCCCGATGGTGGGAAGATGCACTTAGCAACCAGAAAGAAAAAAAAAAAAGAAAAAAGGAGAGTCTGCAGAGGAGCTGAAAGGCTTGGATTCCTCCTCATCATCTTGTGTACATATCAGCTTACGTTTAAAGGCTGGCTGTTTATACAAAGGTGTTCTCCTTCAGGAAAAGCACTTTGAAGTAGAAGAATGTCACCGTCATTATCTTCTCTCTTTGTGGAGATTCATAGAAGATTTCCTGGGTGTTCTTTTCCAGCCAAGAGTGGAAATGGGTCTCTAATTGGATGTGTGCACACAGAAAGCTTTTGGCTTTCAACTGAAAGAAAACCACCACCACCATTACAAATCATTTCACCTCTTGATTTCAATCTTTGAAACAGGTACAGAAGAGGCAAGGAAAATGACAAAGACCAGAAACAGAAACCAATCAGCAGGAGACAATACCGCTGCAGCGCTCCAAACCCAAGCTTTAAAAAGTTTTTAAATAAGACAAAACGTAATGAAACGTCAAAGCTACACACAACACAGCAGTGACCCCCATCAAATAAACCGAGCAGCAGGTAGACCAAGCAATGCGTAACAAGACCGCACAACGACCAACAACAATTAGAGCAGAGACAGCACACACAGCTACACAGTGCAAACGAGCACACACAGAAAAAGTACAGAAAATGAGTGGGAGCGGATGAGAGGAAGGAGCCATGAGACAAAATGAGACGGAGCTAATGGAGGGCGAGGAAGGCATGCAGAGGAGGGGGAGGTGGGAGAAAACGGAGCTCACAAACGTGTAAAAAGACAGACGAGAGTGATTTCAAATTCTAACATTTATTAGATCTACTCAATCACAGGTACAGAGTTTATTGGCAGTGATTATCTACAACAGGCATCTTGAAAGGGAGGGAATGATGACCCTGACAAAGAATGACGGGCGATTCAACAATGTCACCAGCGCTGAGGACCACTTGTCCCCCCCATGACTAATTATTTTCACGATTGCTCAAATTGCCACAGAAGCAGCTGACACCATTTGGTGACTCAGAGAGTTGCGTAAGGCATTGACATTGTTGAATTGCTCTCAACTAGAGGAGGTATGATGGAGAGGAGTACAGCATTTGTTTTGTATGGGTGCTCTGCATTTGAAGGTCCAACGATGAAAAACAATTTCAGGGCTCTGGTTTTGCTGTGATGCTTTCCTAATTGTACATAATAAACTCACAACGTCAGGAAACAGCTGCTAATCTCATCGCTTTCAAATCTCCAGCACAACATTCACTCACTGCAGTCACTCATCTGTATGCAAATATTCTTAATGTTCATACAAACTGCCATCACTTATATCTCTTGCACCCCAAACCTCTAAATAAACATTATATTTAACTGGAGTAATTACGTTCCAGTCGTTCGGATAAACCCAGCAATTAGTGTTGTGGGAAGTGACATCAAAGTAAACATAACTCACTGAACAAAATATACACATCACTATTTACACGTTGATCCGAGTGTAATTAAGACAAGTCACATACATGTTTGCCACGTTTGATCAAAAAAACAAACCAGTCTAAATGATTGGCAAACTGAGAAAAGAGTTACTAATTGACCATATTCCCACAGCGGACATTTTTCCTGACATCACACAAAGACGGAGGACGCTCGAAGGCTTTGAAAATGTTTGACTGGTGTGTTCAAGGGAGCAAACTGTAGAAATGGAGAGAATCTGAAAACAGTCATGGTTTGTGTAGGTGGGGTGGCCACATTTTAGGTTAGAATGTCTATTTGAAAGCTAATTACTTTAGCATTCAACCACTTCCAAGCTAACCTTACTATCAGCCAGTAACTGAAGCCTTTCCTTTGGTGTAGTATATCTAATAAACGTTAATGCAACTGCAGCAGTCCATTATTTCCTAGCTGGTGAAACAGTTAACTAGAAATAAAATTTTTGCTATTGTTTTATAGTTGACCTTTTAGCCATTTTGTAGCTAACAATAATACAGGTTAGAAAGTGATTGAAAGCTAAAACGAGCCCGTCAGACGGCAACTATTTGATCACAAATATAGTTTTAAGCGTTCAATTATTCTGTATAAGAGAATTTAATCTGTCCATCCTTGGCATGACATCAAAGTATGTTTCAAGTTAAAACAACATATTTGGTAACTCTAAGCAAATGTTAGCTTAAGATATCTACAAAACTAATGTTACTGTTAATGAATGATCTGTAGCCCTGGTGAAATAAGGCTTTTTATTTATATCTCAGACCTCTTCTGCAGCCTCAAATGTTTCTGTTATCAGTAGTTAATGCCTTTTGTATCGTTTGGTCTAACACTATCAAACTGATTTTCACATTCAATCTTTGCTGTCCAGCATAACAGTGGATTTTTACCGTTTCATTTGTGACAATTTTGTTTTATTTTAGCCGTTTCACAGCCAACATTAATATCAGCTAGCCCGTGGTAACAATATCTGTTGTCCTATGGTTGCTAATGTGTCATTAAAAGTTTTGTTCTAACCCTCTAGGTTTCCACTCCTCATTGTTTTTTGATCAATCGAGAAGCCTTGAAATTATGAGGATTTGTCCGATTCTCTACAGCGAGCAACCATGAAAACAGCAGCACATTATGAATTCAAGCTCCTTACCCTCAGCATGGCGCAGGAGGAAATGGCCATCGTGTGAATAAGGTCAATTTGTGTTTAAAGTGCATCAGAGTCAGTGTAGAGGGAGTGTTTTTTTTTTTTTTTAATTTGTGGTCAGGTTTGGACCACAGTGTGACGGAGGGCGCACATGCGCACAATCAACAGACACACAAACACGCACACAGAGGACTGGTTTGTTACACTGTAGAAATACCTGAGCTGGACTTTCCCTCTGCTCCAGAGTCTTGAGACTCAGAGCAAGGTGGCGGCGGGGTGAAGTTGGCTTCAGGCATGCTGCTCTCGAAGGACCGCCTCGGGGACGGGCAAGGCGGCAGCAGGGTGCTGTTGGGGCTGTTGATGTCGCCCTCCCCTACTAGGGTTAGGTCGTTGTGGGTGTCCTCCTCTACAGTGCGGAGGCTTGGCCGGGTGTCTAGAGGTCGGGAGATGGGGGACAGGTGGGTGCCAAAAGTTGGGTGCCGTGGAGGGGGTAAGAGGCAGCGCCTGGTCGCAGTGTGTCCGTTGGCGCTGGAGCTGAGCGAGGAGTCCAGACTCTCTGAACGAAGACTGGAAGATAGAGCGCCCCGTGAGGAGATGCCATTCTCCCGGGTTTGTTTTAGGGACTCTGGAGTGGAGCAGGCCAGCTCAGGGGGGGAGAGGCGCAGGAAGTCAGGAAGAACCAAGTCGTCTTTGTTCAGGAGTCCGCGCTGGTCATTGGCTCGGGCACTCTGTGCGCGACTCAGCAGCTCAAAGAATTCTGCAAAGCACATCAAACAAGTTCCCTTCAGTTTAACTTTCCAAACAGGATAATAGAGAAAAGCATTAGTCTGGTTTAACATGCAGCAAAGCAGTCTCACTCAACATCGAAAGTAACCCCTCAGAGCTGTCAGATACTAAAGCAGTTAGTCCTGCGGCAAAGCAAAGCTAAGAAATCCACCGAAAGAACAGAGAGAGAGAAAAAGAAGGAAGGAAAAGGGGCTTTTACCTTCGGCTTCATCTATATTAATCTTTTTCTGTTTTCTCTTTTCCCCTGGGAGTCCTGAGTCTGGTCCACTTGCTCTCACAGAAAAGTCCTTTGGTGTTGACCTCTCATCTCCCTGCAGATGCAACAATAACAATGCACTCTGTTAGGGGATGGAGGGATGGGGATGGGGAGGAGGAAGAGAAGGAGGAGGAAGAGGAAGAGAGAGGGAGGCCAAGCATGAGCTGCCAAGCACCCTACTGAGCGGAGTGTCCACATTTACTGAGACCGTCGTGTAAAGATCAGCTTGGTCCATCTGTGTCATAGCTGACCTTGCTAGCATCCAGATCAAGTGCTATCTGCCTACATACGGAGCGATAGCATGAAGCAATATGAGCGAGTGAGTCAGCCACAGGCGGTGTTAGGGCAACAAAAAAAATCAGGAAATACACACCAAATTCAATGTTAATAAAGATTTGTGTTTGGGCTGTTATCAAATAATACTGGATGTTGCAGAAGCAGCACAGAAATAGGAAAGGACAAAGCACATCTTGACTTAGTTTTGAGACATGTTGAAAATGAAGATGCGTGGGGACTCACTGTAGCAGAAAAGCTCCTGGTTGGAGGGTGGCCCTTTAAGGAGGAAGACTTGGATTTGTCTGTTAGAAAGAGAGACAGAGAGAGAGGTGTGCATGACAAATCCATAGTAACTCAAGTGTAGCAATTTAGCATTAAATTGACACCAAGTATCAAACTTAATTATAGAAACAGGTAACACTGAAAATACAAGTTAAGCTTTTTGTAACTCGAACGATTACACTTTTTATTGCTTAGAGGTAACATCAGTCAAACAATTGAAATATTGAATTTGAGATGCGTGCTACTGCAATGCTAAGCATAGTTAGCATACAGTGAAATATTCTAAATGGCAATAATATGGTATCCTGACTAAAGTAACTTGAGAACATTGTAGTATTCTAACCTGGTAAAGAAAGTTCTAGTGGGAAAAACAACGTCTGTAATCCCCCTGAACTTGTACTAAAGTCTACTTGTACTAAATGTCCGTGACACATCCTGGATTTTTAAATATCATGTCAAAGGGTCTTACCTTTGCTTGAAGCTGGGTCTGCTCGCTCCAAAACTACCCGCAGGCCATCCAAACTCGATATGGGGGCCCCCAAGTCCAAAGGCTTAGTTTCTCCGCTCTATCAAAACACAATTTCATGTTCAACATGTTTGCAGTTTCACCATTTGAGCAGAAATCTAATTATGTCAACGTTTCTCTTTCCTCAGTTTGATTTATAAACTGTCTCTCTGCTCTGCTGTATAACACAATTATAATGGAAACCCAAAGGACTAAAATAAATCCTCAGGGAGGAGTAAAGAGTCGGCATGTTCGAGGAATGTCATCATCCTTAATTACTGCCCTGGGGCTCCATCTTTGGAGGTTGGGCTGATTCACAGCGCTAACCACCATGCTTCAGATGGAAAAGGATGCGGTCGCTTCCCTCCCCTGACCGCGATGCTCCACCCTGTGGCCCTGTCACACACTGCACACGCCACCCCCTGGACACACAGGAGCTTCAAAAGGATTTAAGGCTCTAAAGCCACCAGGGAAGACTTACAATTTTGGCCACAAGATCGCTAAGGTGGAGGCCGTATTTGGCCACAACGGGACGAAGGACCTCTGTAACTGGCTTAGTGGGTTTGGCCTTTAGTCCCACGGAGCGGTTAATGGGTACCAGGTCCAATCTAGGAACAGTACAAAGTAAATGAATGTTAAAAAGACATAAATACATGGGGGAGAAGAAGAAGATAATCATAACAAATCTTGCTCATTCATACCTAAAGAGAGTCCGCTTCTCCAGTCTCAGTTCTCGTGCGCTGAGGGTCAAACAGTCCTGGTCCAACACCAAAGGCTATGAAGAGAAAACCATGAAAGGTTTCATTACACACCGAGAACAAAACAAACTGTAACAGCATTCTGTAGCTACTCAAAGGATGACTCTCCACTCTCTTCTATATTTATTTCATTTCACCGCTGTCAAATTCAGCTCTTTAGAATGGTGATTCTTGAAGAAATAAACAATGTTTAAGGAGTGAAAAAGATGTTTAATTTATAATAAACAGAAATAGAGTTACTACATCAATAAGGGGCTCGGGGGAAGTGCTCTATTATCAGATCTATATCTATTGTATTGCTCTTCAATTACAAAGTCAAACAAGATTTATGTTTTATTTTCATAAATAGATTGTGCTTTCTATTTTTTAATCTGTATCTGTTCACTGCTTTGCACAAAAATAAAAGAGGGAGGGTTCTAGTCTATCCTCTCAGGGTGGGCACTGGGCAGGTTAAAATAAGGGGTCTGTACAAATACCAAGAGGTTATAATCCCTGAAGATTAAGCTAAATGTATGATCTAAGTGTGAAACAGGAAATGTGGCGTGTACTTAGGGAGTGGGTTTTGCTTGAGTATTGGTATGTTTGTGTGCCTGTGTGTGTGTGTGTGTGTGTGTGTGTGTGTGTGTGTATGGGGGGTTTTTCAGAACTTTATTTCCTGTATTCTGGTGTATTAACCATGAAATTGTCTATATTTCTGTAAAAGAAACCATAAATTAGTTACTTAATTAATTTTAAAAAATAGATTTATAGCACTTCCTGCGTTAATTTCACATTCTAGCCAGATTCAAAGTGCCATCATTCTCATTGTAGACTAATGCTTTATGTTTTCTTCTACAACAAGTGATGAACTACTGCTAACTGGTTTTTCCAAATCAGAGATGGGATTGGATCATCGAGTCAGAGTTAGTTAAAGTTTTTTTTTGTTTTTTTTTACACGAGTGAGCCTCTGTATTTGCTCGTTCCGTCTTTGCACTGGTTCTGTGTCTGAAAACGTCATCCACAAAATGGGTTGGCTCACAGCAAATATACCTGCTGGATATAGGCTGCCCACCCAATCACAAAGTTGGAAAGTGACTGGCATTCTGGAGATCCATTTCTCAATTCGCTAAACAAACATGTCACCCTCTGGTTGGGTGGGCAAGCGAAAGTTTGGATGAGCTAAGCCTACCAAAGTGCAAAGCTGATGCCGACCTTGCACAAAAACCCAGATTCTAATATTTGTTGCTCTTTTCATCATTTATTTGTGTCCACCTCCCCTTACCTTCTCCCCTCCCACCAGGAAGAGGTCGACAGCAGCAATGTTGACGTTGATATTGTGGCAGAGATCCTGAAGGACGTCTCTGATTGAAGCACCGGGCCGAAGAGTGATGGAAGAGCAAGAACCGTCTGGTAGCACCACGCTGCAGTGTTTCGGGAGCGTTCCCATACTGAAACTGAGTGGCGATTATCAGCCTGAGGAGACATGATTAAAACCATTCAGTGCTTGAATTTAACACAATGGACTGGTTATGTTAAACATGTATAGTTATTCTCATAATCATAGCTTCACCCTCTTATCTACTCTATCCATAAACAAAAACTGAGTGGGCTGATAACTTCAAAATAAAAACTACACAACTCTGGCCTGTTATGAAGATTTCACCAGACACTAGGCTCACTGTTGCCATGGCAATCTGTCCACGGAATCTTACCTCAATCTTGCCAGCAGAGCAGGAAGTGGCCATCTCCAGGCTGGTACCAGATGACAAGGAGCCCTGGGACTCCCTCCGCCCATTACTGCCCCAGTAGTCTGCACAGAGGGAGATGAGTTCATGCAAGTAAGACATGTGTGTGCACTACTCACAATAAAGAAAAAATGCAACATCAACACTGTTCCAAGCTATAACATCGCTTTTAACGGCTTTCCATGTTATATTGTCGACACAGTCTTGGCAGGCATAAAGGTATCAGTCATTAAAAAGATGCTTGTGAATATACAGCAGCTGTTACATTCAATCTGAGTGGCACTTCATTCAGTGAGAGATATTCATGTTAAAGGGTGATATCAGGTTTAAACGAGCATCATATCACTGGAAAAGAAACACTTGAGACAATTACAGTGCCTGCATAAATAAATAAAAGCCTGTAAATCTTACAGCTCCTGTGAGGATCTTTCTCTGGTTATTAAACAGACTTAAAGTTATAAAGACACCTTTTAATGAGCTATTGACTATTTTTATATAATAATACCTGAAACGCTTTAACAAGGAAGGAGTCAGAAATTATATATTACTGTTAAATAACAATAACACTACTCACATATTTAAAGTACAATATCAGCAAAGAGACTAGAAGCACTGCTTTGTCCACAGGGGGCGCCAAAATCAACACAAACTGAAAGTTTCTCACAGAAGCTTTGAATCTTTTTTTCCATATCAGTATGACTACTGACCTTTTAAGAAATCCATGCTACTAAGCATAAAGCAGAAGAAAAAAAATGCCTTTAAAATGAAACAAATTAGGGGCACTGGATAACAGTTATTTTGAGCGCCCCATGTATGGAGGCTGTCATCCCCCTCTCTCTTCTCCAAACATTTCCCGTCTCTCTTCAGCTGTTCTATCTAATGAAGCCCAAAAATATGACTTTAAATAAATTTAACAAAACTAAAGCTATGATATGATAATGTAATTTTTACAAATGTTTTAACTCACCGTTTCAATATTCTGCTATAGAGCTGGTGCTTTTTGGATATCTCTTTCTTCAGCGTGTAAGATTGTTACAGTTTTAAAAAGTATGCTTTTTTTTGCCAGTAGAGAATGTGTAATACTTTGATCACTGCAGGGCAGCTGTGTTTCTACACGCCTCCCCCGCATGAAGCTCAGCTCAGGAGCTGGCAGTGATTTGGTGTCTTGTTCAAGAACACATCAACAAAAGTTGTGTTGTAAAAGTTTCTAACTATGTAGCACAAAGACTTCAATTGATTCCTTACCAAGGTTAATGTCTCCTATGTCTTTTTTCTTTGGCCCCTTTCCGAAGCTCCTGTTGCGTGACCACGAGAAGAAGATGCCCCGTTTCTTGTCGGCGCTCTCATCTCTGCTGTCTTCATTCAGGGACCTCCCTGACCTCTGCTTTCTGGCCTCCTGAAGGTTAGAGAACAAACACAAATATAAATAATAATTTCTTTACTGATTAGCCATATAAACACATACACATACACACTATTATATTCCAAGAAAAGTTCATTTGTTGAGACCAAAAAGCAGCAGGTTCACCTTTTTGGGGGTGGAGAGGGTGGAGCGGTCAGAGCTGGCGCTGTGTTTGGAGGGTGCAGGACTGCAGGGAATGTGATAAGGGTCCGGCAGGGGTCGACCGTCCACCTCAGCGCGCATACACTCTTGGTAAAGGGAGGACTTGAGGAATCTGGAATAACTGTCGAACTTCATCAGGTTGAATATCTGAAGACGTAAAGAGAAAGAACAAAGGAGAAGGAGATGAGATGAGTGATGGACAAAGAGGGAAGGTGCTCAAAGAGGCACGCATGTTCAAAAATAAAAGAGCAAGGAAGAAAAAACTGACCGTGTTAACATATAGTTACAGCTTTTGTTATGACAGGCATCTTAACAGTTGTTTTATGCGCGAGTGCCGGCTGATATATACACATCTCTGACTGCTGCATGTGTCTGAGATTACAGTATGCGCTAGATTGTCTGTGGGTGTATGCCAATTTGTGTTTATCTCTCTAGTAAAGGCTCGGAGCCCTTTTGTAAACAAACCCAGATGGCCACGAGAAGGAAAAACCCAACATGCTTGTGCTCAGTGAGTAAAGGCTAAATGAGAGCAAACCCCCTACTGCAAACAGAATCCCTCCAAGGAAAAAAAAAAAGTCTCGAATGATAGATAGAATGATAGTAAGAGAAAGATTGAGGTCTCTTAAAAGTGAGCTGATGACTGCTGCGGTCTTTTCCGTACCTGTAGCTGCTGTGTCTTAAACATGTCGGGCCACGGGGAGGTGAGGACATCATCAGCCAGCTGGGCCTGGCTGTCGATGTTGACCGGCATTGTGGCCTTGCTGGAGAGGAAGCTGTTGTAGATCTCTCCAGCTCGCTGGGACAGCTGCAGAGAAAAGGCTTAGAGATGAACTCCAAGACAGAAAAAGAAAAAAATCCCAGTGGTACATGTCTTCATATCTTACACTTTTTTTTATTAATTTTATAAATAAATGATAAAGCCATCAACAATGCAAATTTAATTTTAGTAAAATATGACCTTCCTCTGTACCAAAATGACGGTTTCTGTCTAACAAAGTGGGCTCAAGATCGTTAAAGGTCAAAACTTATTAAAAGGAAAATAGAAAATCAGACTAATGTACACAGATATTCCTACAGAATAGAGCATAGATTTAACCCTTCACAAAATCTAAATGAATCCAACTGAAACCGTTTAGAAAAAGAAATGTCACTTAGGCTCATATTGAATTTGTAAGGTTTAAAAAATGTTCAGAACCATTCCTCTAAAGACATCTGTGATTCAATCAGAGATTCATTTTGAACAAGAACACAAGAAAAGCTGTGACTGCACGTGTATCTTCATGCTGTGTGCACTTACCTGTTTTTGATCAGTTGCAGGGACATGACTGAAGTATTCACAGGCCTGCCAGAACAAGATATTCTCCTCACTGAATTCTTTCTTGAGAAATTCCTGCAGAGACACACAGTAGCACAGAGTCTGTATGACCTCAAACTGGTGCTGATATTATTCTATTTTTTGGGGGGGGGTTGTTGTTGTTGAGACCAGTGGTGAGAAAAGAAAATGTTGGGTGTAATGTTGTGAACAAGCGTGGTGGGAGTGTGGGCGCAGGATGGTGTAGGCGAGTGCAGCTCAGATGAGTGGTGAGGGAAGGCGAGGAGAGAGGCGGATCTGGGAGGCCAGAACTTAATGTTGTGCCTTTGGGAGGTGTTGCAGGCTGCATTCAAAGGCACATATTTTGTGTGGGAGAAATGGGAACAGGAATAGGATGGTGATCAGGTAAAAGTTGATGTTCAATATTATATATAAAATCGGTCTTTAGCATATCTGATAATATAAGTGATATTAGGGGAAAAAATTAGAGCATGACGGATACATTTTTTAACTTATATCGCCTATTCGAGATTACAGAGATCTTTTTAGATGAGTCTGTTTGGGTTTTTTTGCTGAAAAAAATTGACTAGGGGCGACATGAGAAATGTTGTCATCAAAGAGTTTGTCCAGTTGAGCTCAGTATGACTTCATTATTAACAACACTCTCAGCACTGTCTGCTGCATATGTATCAGAGCATCACAGCAAAGCAGAAAGCAGTCGTTTAGAACCTTTGTATCATCATATAGATGTTATATCTATATCGATATTGGCTCTTATCAGCCCAATATCTGTAATGTTACCTCAAAATCAGTTTTGGTATCAGCTTTTTAAAAAAATGGCCTTTTGCTCCAGCTCGTTTGCACATAGATGTCTTTAATGTTGGTTTATTCATGCAACAACATAAATGTATGAACTGTCCAATTAAGGAGTTAAGGAATAAGGCCTTATATATGCCGTCAGTGCAGTGGCTAAAATGCAACGCGCCTAAAGGGACAAAATAGCACGTGATCAATGTGATTTAAAAAATGTATGCATTAGTCTAGGACCATAATCACATCTCCATTTATGTGTCAACGCTGACAACCCTTTAAAAATAAGCAAATCCTTTCAATTCAACACACACCTTCAATTTGTTATTCTTTAAATCTATAAATCTCATTGATCAGCCAAACATCTTCCTGTCTGCTGTTCCTCTACACCTTTTTGGGTGAAGTCAGTACAACATTACATGAGTTTGAGAAGCTTTATCCTACTCTTACCGAGAAGTAGCGCACACCCACTGGATCCTGCAGGAGCCGCTCGAAGCAGCCGGCCCAGCTGGCCACGCGCTGCTCTGGAAGCCCTCTGTGGCTGCCTGCTCCTGGAAGGCTGCCATTACTGTTCAAGCTGCTCTGGCTGCAGCATCCCTGCAACTGGACTCCACTGTAGTCTGCAGGACAGAGGGGAGTGACCATGTAAAAAGGTTAGGTGACTCTAAATGTGGAAGGTTAAAAACATCCTGAGGGAATGTTAAAGCTGCTCTTCTGTGTGGCCTTTTAACCTTTTACATAGTCCTGTGGATTTCAGCTTTTTTTTGCCTACTTTAAAAAAAAAAAAAAATACTTTTGTTTCAATTCCTTGAGCTGAAAATCTTTGACTTTCTTAGCTTTTATATAAGAACTTTCAATGTCTTGGTATTCATGTTGAAAATGGTCCAAGAGAAGTAGAAGATCCGAACATAATCAGGTTTTGTTTCTAGAGCTAATTTAACTAATCTCAACTAGTGTACAAACATTTTCTGCAATTCTACAATTGACTACAGATTCTGAGACTTTAACTGATCCTGTTAAAAGGGGGAGGAACTTGGTCATAAAACAATCCAAACACAATGATGGGCCAAATGTGCCGTATAACTGCACCAAACTCAACAACAAGCAGAAAGAGGACTATCAAGCTAAAGGTCAGGAGGTTTGAAAGGAAAGCTAATGGTTTTTTATTGTAGCCTGTGCTACACTCTTCACTTGTCAATGTTACACAATGAGTAAATGCTAAAGTTATGAGGGGGAGCTAGCATGTCTGATTGCATCTGAAAAGAAGTAACAGCAGGTGTCACTCAGTTTGAAAAGAGGAGCAAAGAGCATGCAGCAGGGGAAGGATCAATGTAAGAAAGAAAAGAGCGGAGACATGGCAGAAGGGGACACGAGGAGTGATCCAGGAACTGGGGCTTAGCTGAAGTGGGGGCTTTTTCAGTCTGCACAGTACCTGCTATCATGGCAGCAGATGGCCACTTATGAGCTGTGTGCAGAGCAGGAAGGAAAACAAAACACAAAAAAAGGGTCACACTGGGATTTGTCACAGTTACACGGCTGTTTTCATTCTTCAGGGACTCAACTGGTTGTCATCGGAAACTGGTGCTAACAGAGTGAATCTCTGCTGAAGTGAAACAGACATGTAAGCTAGGTCAGGAAGATAGAATGATTCGTTTATGCTTCCAGCACAAGAAGAAAGGCTGGATTTACAAATAGGTGAAGTCAAACGGCGGTGAAATAAAAGCACTGTAAATAGTGCATGACATCAGTAACAGCCTGACAGCGAGCGCTTTTAGATTATGACTCAGGTGGCCTTTATATGACCTTTCAAATCCTACAGTAGGTTGTTGTCTTTTAGCAATTAGCCTAACTGTGACAAATGGAATTAAGTATGACCAATCTGAAAGTTCTTATTTAAAAGTAAATCCAAATGTTACAGAAGCCACTTGTTTGGTGTTGTTTGTTCATGCACTCAGGCTGTGTGATCCACATGGTGTGCAGCTCATTTAATGAGTCGGCTTTAGAAAGCAAACCGCCGTGCATGTCTGATCCACATCCACAGTGAAAGGAGCAAAGCGGAGCAGAGCCGGAGCTGCAACCCCTCCGCCTCCTCCTCCAACCCGAGCCTCACTCCGTTCGCCTGTTAGTAAATGTTATTAAAACTGCTATGAAAGGGGGAGAGACCAGACAGAAACGCACGCTAGACCCGGCTGCTCGACAGACATCCTTTGTTAATGAGGCATGCTGAATACTGTGAATACATCATCCACAGTAGGTCCTTTTATGAGTCTATTTGACTGAGCAGATACAAAGCTCTGTGCTGTGTTCAGAGCAGAAAAAGAGGAATAAAGATGCAGGAGGTGAAAGAGTTTGACATGAAAACATTATACTTTGTTAGCAAAAAGCTCAAATCGAGCTTATCTTATGATTTAACTTGATTTATAATGAAAGCAATCAAAGAATGTACTCACCGCCATCTGAGGAAGCAGCCGACTGAAAGAGAACAAAGAGAGACATGAGTGAGAGGCTGCCCTCATGACCTCCTGCGCTCACACAAGAGACTGAAGCTGATAGCAGCGTCTCTTCAGGCATCCCAACACACTCACTCTGAGGTGTGTGTGTGTCCTTGTGGTTTGGGTGTGAGTGTGTGTGCTACTGGGAAAAAGGGTTGGATCTTTGCTCCTTACACAGGCCCATTAATTTGTATGTGGGCGGACCCCCTGGCTTCTACCACACACAGCTGTTCACACCTCCACACCGGGACCCACCCCTCATTTTTATTTTACACTCTCAACTCCAATGTGTGCATTCCTGCCGGCTGCACTCACACTACAGATCAGAGCTCATCAAGGCAGAGCTACTTGAGGGGCCATCAACTGTGAATAATGGCCCTCCTTTCACTTGTTAATTTGAGGGCTGAGAGGTGTAGATGTGCCTAAAAAACCCCTAGTGGGCATTGAAACTTCACTGTGACAACTTTTAGCAAAGTAAAAATGCAAAACAGTGACTGATCTTAAGGTGGATCAACAAGTAATAACTCTACAGTTCTTCATTTTAAAATCCACGGGCTCTGATTTGTGTCTCCTGTGTATTTAAAATGGTAATAAAAATAGTTTTTTAAAGATTAAACTGTGAAGCTGCGGTCACAAAGAAATGCAGGGGAAGATATGAGAGGCGAATCTTGGGGCTTGGTCCAAGAACACTGGGTGAGTGGGTGCTGTGAAGGATTCATCTGAATAAAAAAAACAGAAAAAGGGAAGACTATTTCCAGTGGAGTGTTTTCTGAGCCGCTACTTCAAAGTGTGAATATTAAAGGCTGATAATACTTCCATGCAAGGCTCTTACTGCAAGGCTGGTGTCCTGTTGTGAGAAGAACATGCAGTTTCTTGTTCTGATACTGGACAGCAGAGCTCAAACGTTTCACTACTTGAGAAATCATCAACTACCCAAACAACTATCCAAGACATAATCTCAGAACAGCTTCTTTTTCATAGTTGACGTGATGGTTGTCTGGAGTGGCTGCGGTCATGTGCACTGATGTGACGTTTTGCGTTCCAATTTGGGAGTGACCACATGTATCATACATAAACCACTGAACCACTAATCGCCTGTTGCAGCCTCTTTACAACTCTGCTTCTGCTGCCAGAGTCCAACCTTGTCCAGTCAACACCCAAAAAGCCACCTCTACTGTGGTGGTTAGCATGTGAACAGTAATCACGGGGTGTAGCATGAGGAGCGACATGAAGCTGAAACAGAGGAGAGACAACGGGGAGAACGCCCACTCAATCTGTCTGTCCTTAGTGTTCTAAAAGCAGCGAAACCTCAGACTTTTAATATATACAGCGGCCTGTGGTTCACTTTAAAGAACAAGACAGACATCACACAATATGACGTCAAGTTTGGTCTGCAACAAACAAAAAGTCCTTGTTTTAACTGTGAACCAGTGAATTCTTCACTCCCTACTTTACAAGTCGAATTCTATTATTTGAACCTTTTTATGGAGAGATTGCATTTCCAAGTAGCGTCCATCCAACTTCTCAGACAGCCGGTATTACTGCCGATCCATGCTTATCACCGATATCAGCACTTAAATAAAAAATAAAAAAAATGGAACACTTTTTTTTTACAGATACAACAAAAAACATGTTTATGGTGATCTATAAATCAATCAGACAGTTTGTCCAGTGGTGGTCTCTCTAACTCCATAGCAGAATTTCTCCTATAAATTGGGCATCCATTCCAGTCCCAACAAAAAAAAAATCCCACATCAGTCAGGCTCTTGATAGAAGTTGACAAACATTTTAAACATCCACTTCTTACAAGAACAGAACTTCCATTTACTCACAAGTATTGCGATAAGAGTGGGAGTATTTCAAGTACTAATAATCCTAAATGCCCTCATGACAGATTCATAGCCATTTCTCATCTTTGAAAGGCCGTCATAGAGGAGAAATATGTTAATGACAAATTAGTCATGAGTTGTGTAAAAAGGCTGGAGCTTCTGACTGATTGAAACATTGCAAAATCCTGCAACTCAGGGTGCTGGTTAAGCTGAGTCTGTTAAGCAGGCACCCCATATAAAGAGGCAACAGTCATCGACACAACAGCCTTGACCCTTTGACCCCACTCTCTTCTCCCCAACACTTCCTGTCTCTCTTCAGCTGTCCCATCAAAAACTGTTGCACATCCTTCATTTGATTTCATAACGATTTGATGTGAGAACCAAGGAATAATTTCATTTTCGACAAGTCTTTATAACCACAGTACCACCGATACAACAGTTTGCTAAAAAAAACAAACCGAAAATTGTGAAAAATGCCTTTCACAGTTTCTTGAAGTCCTGCTGAACTGCTGAAATGTTAAGCTTTGTTCAATTAATGGTCTAAAATTGGACATGGCTAGAAGTAGCTAACTGTCCCATTTAAGAGGCTAAAACAGATTAAGGCTTTTTAGCCTGATAAATGTTTAATCACAGTTATGATTGTTGACAAATGAATAAATAGACTGATCATTTAAGCACTTCGTTTCCTGTTTCATTCTTTTAAAAATGGATCATATCAAGATGATGCAGAGGTTGGTGTGTGTGTGTGTGTGTGTTTGTATGTATGAGGCTGCAGGGTTTAGACCACACACCACTGTGTGTTTTCAGAATCATTATTGCTTCCTCGTCTTTAGCTCCACTACAATCAGGCCAAAGTGGTGACCCAGCGCACCGTCACCACATGTCACACACGCCCCCTTCCTCTGTTGACACCTCTGGTGACGAGCTGGTCTACCACGGGTGTCTCTGCAGGGCCCCCAGACCCTCTTTGATCTCTTTCATATAAAGGCAGGATTGCAATGATCATCATTTCCGAGCTGGACTCCCTCTGAAAGCTGTCCACATTTTTAGGTTGTTATCACCAAAATGGACAAATAAAAAAAAAAATAAAAAAATCACAATTCAAGTCACAGCGAGTTCCCTGAACAAGGATTTGGCTCTCTGGTTGGAAAACGCTCCTCCAGTATTACTGCAGTACAGCCCCCACGCCGAAGCGTCTGGCATCCTGAGACACCACATGCTGGAGGAATGATGATGATCACACACAGAAAGATTTAAGTGTGTGATCTAAAGTGAGCCACCAAGACAAAACAAACCTCGAGCACCGTTTAATATATCGAAGTATAAGCCACAGTCACACAAACAGAAATGTCACCAATTCATACCTCACACTGGACATTTGTTGGTAGATTTTCTTCTGATCTTTTAGACTTGTTAAGACATGTTTTCTCCTCCAGAAAGCAGATGTACATGCTTTAAAACTTTCTCCAACAAAAGCAAAACTCTTCCTAACTTTTACACAAGTCAAGGCTGATACTAACACCTCGCAAACAAACTACTCCCTGCCGTTTCAAACAGCTGTTCTCAATGGGAAAAAGAGACGAGCGACAAAGAGTGAGATTAATGAGAAAAACAGCTGACTGAACAAAAGGAGTCCTCCCGCTTCATACAGAGGAGGACAAGGAGGCTCGCCCGGCAAACCACAGTTTACTTACAGTGCTGAAGTTCCAGGTCTTCTTGAAGGAAAGTCTCTTTTTGAGACTCATTGTTCCCTAAAGTCTGCTACACCCGCTGCACACAGACAGATTATGTGTGTGTGTGTGTGCGAACGCATACCTGAACATTCCCCACCCAAAACTCTGCAAACCATGTCTGTACAAGTCTGAGCGAGACGGGAAGAGAGGGAGGGAGAAATTTGACAAGGTACTGGAGTGGAATAGAAGAAGAAGGAGAAAAGAGGAAGAGGCGGAGGAGGAGGAAGGAAAGATTTCCTTACTCCGCAGCTGTTGCCATAGAAACCAATACATACGTTTGGCTTCTGCCACAGTGGCATGAAGGAATCAGATGAATTAACCCCCCTTTTATCCCCCCGTCTCCCACACAAGCTCGCCATGTCAAAACCACATTGGCCATTCCCCCCTCTTTTGTTTCCAGTCGGGGAACTCTGTCTTTTCTCGAAAGAAGAGAAAAAATATCCAGTCAGTTCAAAGTGAAACCAGATGATTTTTCTTGTATAAAAATAAAGATTGGGAGTCCAGAAGTTCAACTCTGACCCCACAGAGCTCCATTCTTACATTTTAAAGTAATAACTCTATCAAGTTGGGTTTCAGTTTGGCTCATGTAGCATGAAAAGAAAAGGATTCTGGCATCACTCCTTGCATCCCAATCTCCATATCATGCTGATTGTTTAAAAACCAACTATTTCTGAGGTATTCCTGTGGTAAGTACACTTCTGCATTCTCTGGCTCTTATTTAGCCGTAACTAATGGAAGTGATACAGGGTTCATTAACAGCAGAGGATTCATGGTACATTACTCTCGTTTGGTTAGATTTTTACATGGTCTATCATTTAGCATATTGGATGTTTGTCATGTGTGCATCATGGCTGTGGTGATGCATCAGAATGGGGCGATTAGAAACTACATCTTAACCACCTCCAGAGAGATTTGGGTAATGCATGATGACACGTGAAACAAAACGGGAACACTAGGATAAATCAAGGGTATAATGGCGCTGAATTGTATTAATAATATGCATTCAAATCTAAATTACACTTCTGGACAGTCTGTCTTTAAATGGCGTTCATACTTTATAATCAGTGATTTTAAAGATAGGAAACAAAGAGGTTGAGAAAACCTGAATACATTCCCACCTCTGCACACCTGGTCTATTTTGATGTTACAAAAATAGGCAGACGCAAAGATCCCAAATGTGCAGCCTGAAAGGAGGCGACTCACTCTTTAGTGGATGTTAAAGGGATACTTCACCCATTTGCATTAAGCTTTGTATCATTAGAAACCGGGTCGTATTTTTGAATGGTCGTGCATCCTGCCCTCATATTCCCCTGAAATGGGAAATCTTTGTATTTTTAAGTCTGAAAAGTGATGCAAAAAACTCTATTTTGCGACACTGGAAGCTGTTGTGGTGAAACTACAACACTAGTTCCTCATAT